TTAGGGCCAGTGCCAGTCCTCAAATCCTCCCAGCGGGCCAATGTCACTCATGCCACCCAGAACCCACCCCCCAAAAACTCCGCCCCCACTTGTCTGAGGCCCTGGAACAGAGTTTGGGCGGGGGGAGGAGGTTTGGGGTAGAGGATTGGAGTGCAGGCTTTGGGAGGGAGTTTGGGTGCAGAAGGGATGAGAGGCTGGGCTCTGGGAGGGAGTTTGGGTGGGGGAGGGGGTCTGGGGTGCAGGCTCTGGGATGGAATTTGGGGGCTGGGAGTGTGTGGGGAGGGGGTGCAGGCTCTGGGAGGGAATTTGTGGGCTGGGGGTTGTGGGGACTGGGCGTAGGCTCTGGGAGGGAGTTTGGAGGTGGGGGGGTGTGGGAAGGGTTGGGGATGCAGGCTCTGGGAGGGGGTCGGGGGTGCGGTGTTTACCTGGGGCTCCAAGGCGGGGCGGGCCGGAGGGTCTCTGTGCGCTTCTGCCCCCAGGCACCACCCCCACAGCGTCCCATTGACCGCAGGGGCACTCGGGCTGGGGGCAGCGTGCAGAGGCACAGCCCCGCACCACTCCTGGGCCACAGGGAGGGGCCGGCAGCCACTTGAGCAAGCAGGCAGTTGCCGCTCAGCTCCGCTGCGCTGCTGGGGCCCCTGAGGGGGGAGCGCCTGGGGCAGCAGGTGGGGCCAAGGGAGAGACCCGGCCCCAAAACTTCTGGAGTCCCACGGGCCACATTAGAGAGGCTCATGGGCTGCAGATGGCCCATGGGCCGGGAGTTTGAGACCCCTGGTCTATGTGAAATTTCAGTTTGCACTTACTCCGCTAGTGCTTTTTATGTAGCCTGTTGTAAAACTAGTCAAATATCTAAATGATTTGATGTACCCCTGGAAACCTCTATGTACCCCCCAGGGGGTACGTGTACCCCTGGTTGAGAACCACGGACCTAGAGAATCTAATTAATATGAATTTATAAAGGATACTATGCCCGATCCTTCCTCCTTTCCCAAGAGCAATCTTTCATTTCCTCTGTACTCCCCCTAAATGTTTATTAATTGAGTCTTGAAACCAAAAAAAAAATAAGTTAGTTTATTGCAAAAGATAATATCCCATTAAAACAGTCTAGAAATTTACAAAACATTACATTTGATTATTACATTTCTTTAGGAAGGTGCTCTGTATTTGAGCTAGCATAATTACCAAGTCTTGTGACTGTTCATAGGACAACTATATTTTTTATTGAACTACAGGGGGGGGGAAAGCTTCATAACCTTTGTAACCTATGTCATACCAGATTCAGGATTCTATTCATACATTTTGTTTTGTTTTTTAAAAAGGAAATAGATTGACTTTCTCTGTAAAACAGAGTAACTTCAAGTACAGTAATTTTGGTATATATAATGTCATATGCTGTACAGTATTTTACAAAGAGCTTGGTGTATTTCTCACATAAATATGTCAAATTTTTCATAACAGTCTACTTTATTTTTGTATACCAATGTTATCAAATGGGATCATTCTGTGTGTGTGTGTGTGTGTGTGTGTGTGTGTGTGTGTATTTTACTCCTCTTATGGGAGCTACTTTGAAACACTACACAGTAGACTGTTATGGTGTAGAATCTTTTCTGCCCAACATTAATAGTTTTGTTATCTACAAATCTATATATTTGTAGTCTAATCCTGATGTTACACAACTGAGCAGTATGTCTCTCTGTTCTCCTTTTTCCTATCTGATGCATTGTAATGGAAAGTCACACATCACATTTTGTTGTAGTTGTGTCACATATGCCCACTGGAGGATCTAAAGTACCTATTTGTAACCTGGTAATATGTTTTATTTATGTTGTCAATTTCTATGTTCAGGCTAAACAAAACAGAGAAAATAGCAAAGGAGCAATTTGAGTGACTTAATATCTCTTTAGCTCTTTTCTGTAACATCAGACATAGCGGATGTATCCATATGTCTGACACTTTTCCAGTGTGTTCTCTAATAGAAATCACCCTTTTGAGTGTAATGCTATGTAATACTATTGCAATGTAGGAGCTGAATATATAATTTTACAAAGAAATTCTATGAATCGTAGACTATGTAGACGTTTGTGTACAGTAGATGTACACATGCAGTATTGTGCCATTTTATTGCACAAATACGATGCCTGCTAAATTCTTTAGTGTAAGAGAAGCTTAGTTTTGCAGCTATATTTTTTTCTGTGTGATATGTACAATTATATGATTTTGTCCTTCTTTTACTGTGAATTGTAGTCAAGCAGTGCTTGAGACAGGTGTGGAATTAAATGGGCTAACTTAATATACTTAATCTTAACTTCTCCTGTACCCCCAGATTGAGTGCAGAAAACACTATTCAAGTCTAGAATGATGACAAAGAGAACCCCACCACAAGCTGGCAGTGCTAGCACACCCTGTAGAGAGGTTTTGATACTGCTAGGAAATGGTTAAGTGGCTGCTGTTCACTCGCTGAGACAGTTGGTGCTTTACACCATCCTCATATAATGGAGATGGGAGTGATTGTTTAGAAAGAGAGTATCTATGGGATGAAAGATCATTAGGTAGGGAACCCTAGGAGCAACCAAGCCTGAGGAGAAGGTGTGAGCTGAACTTTATCGCTTTTATGTTAAATTCTGTGATGATCACACTATACCTCTTGAATGGCTGAGTTTGGACTCAACAGAACGTGTGGACTGTGCTTGAATGAAAACTGGGAAGGAAATTGGTTCATTCTCTCCCTCAGCAGCAGGCTGCAATAGGAACTGCTGCAGGTACAAAGAGCCCACTGGCCAAGATAAGAAGCAGATAATTCACCATGGTACTGTGTGTTTATTATTTTTTTAAAATGTACATTTTAAAGAAAAAAATTAACAAAGATTGAAACACATCCCGAAGGGCTGGCAAGTGAAGAGTTAATTCCTTAGTAGAGGGGCTGCTTCTTCATTTTATGCTGGTAAAGAAAAAATAAACTCTGGGAGTGGAATATAGGACTGGTGATAGCTAAATCTAATGACCTTCCACTAAAGGTGCTAAGAGTCATGAAAACAGGAGAGTGGGAGAGCATTTTTTAGCCTGGAGAGTTGTTATAGCTTTTGATACAGCTCACGGATGTCCCTTTACCATGAGACACTCAGCGTTCAAAACTAGTTGGCTAGAAGGAATGCTATTGTACATAAGTAGAGCGTTCTGTATCTCTGTTATATAGACACACTGATACACAGTCAGTATGGAAGAATACTATAGGCGTGCCAGCATATAAAATGTGTATTTAAATGGGTGTGATAGTGGTGTACTCTAACAAGGGCTAAATTCTGACCCTACTTACCTCTACAAATCCTTATTGAAGAGGGCTTATGGGTATAACTAGGTCACAGTTTTGCTACTAGAATTTAAAGGGAGGTTTTCCTCTGAAAAAGGTTCCAGTGAATGGCATTGTGGATTCATTGTCCCTCAGTGACTTTCATATCTAATGTGTTTAATTCTTTCTAATTCCCAGTCCTGAAAACTCTCACTCAGCTGAGTCATGCTAATTTCTTTACTTTCCATGCCTCATCACCTCTAAACAAAGACCAGTTACATCTAAGCAAGCCCTATTGTGCTATGGTTCTGCCCTTAATGACTCCTGTGCAATCTTATTACCTTCAGTGGTTTTGTGCAGGTATAATTGATTGTCCTTAATACCTGGAACTTATTAAATGGTTTTGCTGATGTACAACAGTGAACAAAAGCTAACTTGTCCTCTTTCTTGGCATTACACACTAATGTAAAACGAGTAAAAGAAACATGAGCACTTTTGTCACTAAAGTAATAAGACTATACATCCCCCCAGGAATAAATCAGATGAGTAAGAATGTGCCATGTTAGTATATTAAAGTCTCTTTTCAGAGTGGGACTGCCCTATACTCTGCCACCTATAGTACTGTCAAGGCTTTAATGCTTGGCTATTAAATTTACTCTTCTGAAACTTTTCCCCTTTTTCTAAACATTTTTGCATGGAAAACAGCTATTTTTCTTGAAAAAAAAAAGTTTAACTTTTATATCTAGTTTTGACTAGTTGTCACAGCTATTTTTCTAAATTTTGAAAAATAGCTAAATTGAAATCTGCTCTACATTAACTTTTCTTAACATTTCTCTTAACACTAATCTGTATTAACATCAGAACATCAAAGTGTACAACTGGTTTGACACCCTCTGGGATGCTGTGAGTATGTTCTGTTGGATCAAAGAGGCATGTGTTGGGGCATTTTGAACTTGTGTGAAGGATCTTAGTTGCACAATGGTACAAACAGAGATAGAGATGTTTTATAAAGCGATTGCTTTTTAGGAAAGGATGTTAATAAATATGATTCTCCCCCTCCCCCAACCGCAGTAAAATAATTGTTAGTTTCTGAATAACACCAACAAAAAAAAAAAAGGAATCATGTCCAGTCTTGGATGCTATAGATTTTTAACTCTTACACTAGTGTAACAAATCAATCACTTGTGATATATATATATATATACAATCCATTGTATATATAATTTTAATGGATTGTCTCCCTTGGAGAGGAAGTTTTCTGAAAATCTGTGTCCCACCCCACAGTTTTTGGTTGCACCACTGGGGACAAGATCAGGGAATGACTTTTAGGCCATTTTGTTTGAAACTAAGCATGATGTGGGAATGCATATGGGTGCGGCTTCCTTTACTTTGATTGCTCTTGTTTTTATCAATTTAAATCACAACTTCAGCATTATTTGAAATTAAAAATTTTGCCTTCACAAAGCACATGAAGATGTCTTTTTGAATCAAAGAGATAGATTGCATCCCATTTCAAAATACTCGTGTCTTTATTCACTGAGCTTGTTAAATGAGCAAATTCCATTCTAAGCTTTTGAGTTTTCAAATACCTTCTTAGACATTTTTTAGTTTCCTGTTTGTGATTTCACAGTTGTACATATTAAAGCCTCTGTATATATGTTTTAATATCTTCTGAAATGTAGTCCTTCAATTCTGTATGTCAGCTAAAAGACATTCACATCCACCAGAAGCATTTCTTTTTCACCTTTTTTGTTTTTCGTCTTAATTCCTGTTTCTCAGGAATTGGATGGTCAGGTGGTAATTTGGGGGCTGGAGCCGTGGCAGGTGTTTGCTCCACTTGATCCAGTGTTTTCAAAACCTGATGAAATCTGCCTTCTTGTTGTCTGAAGTCATATTCCACACTATGGAATACATGGAAAAAATAAGTTAGTAAGTTGTAAATTACCAATTACAAGGAGAGAAATATGGAAAATATTTTTAGACTTTGCTGCAAAGAATATTTCCTCTTTCAGAGTTGACATGATAGAGGTTGACTCAAATTTAAACAATTGTAGGCTGTGCTGTTATGATGTGGTCCTGTGTAGCAATTGTTACTCAAGTGAGTCATCTTTACTCACATGAGGTGAAGGTTGTGGGATTGGGCCCAAGGTCATTCATTCAGAAATTAAGTAAATGCACAAATAGGAATATCCCTAAAAACCAAACCAGGATCAAGCAATCACAGCTGGGAGGTCTTACTCAATACAATTAGGCAACATTTTACTTCATTCCAATAACTATTCATGCATATGCTGCTTCATTCACCCATTTTTTTCCTTCTCAGATTATATAAACAAAAAAGAAAGCAAATTTGCCTACCATAGGTAGATACATTTATCTATATGTGTGTGTATCTGTGTATATATAAACATTTTCCTCGAACAATTTAAAAATTACCGTAATAATGAAATTGACCCATACAATTAATCTTCAGTATGCTATTTAATCCGTGGTAGCCCACATGTTCCATAGTATGGAAAGGTTGCTAATGCTGATTACTTTTTTATTACAGTGTAAAATGAATTGTCACATAAAAGCCTGTTTAAACTGTCAGTGAGTTAAGTTTACTAATGGTGTTTTTTTGTTTAATAGAAGATGTATTCTTGCTCCTGTGAGTGGGTGTCACTTGTCTTCAATGATTCTGCCTCATTGGGCTGCATTATTATTGACAAAGATGTCAAGGATCACCTGCATGCATTAATAGTAAACAGCTTAATCATAAAACAGAATTGCTTCAACTTTACTATACTTTTCTAAATAAGTCATTTCTTGACTGACGTTTTTCTTCCCATATTCATTGGTAGATAAGAGTAGCCATTTGATGCTGGTTGTCTTGAACACAAATGCCATATGTTAAAATTAATGAGCAGCATACTAAATATTCACCAAAAGAATCAAAATAACCTGTTTTATCATCAGTTTGTTGATTTAATACAACAGTATCATCAAAAGGCCTTAATCATGATCAAGGTTCTATCATGCTAAGTATTATAAACAAAAATTACATGCTATGGTTTCTGCCATGAAGTGTTTACATTAAAATCTAGAGACCAAGCACAACAAATGAATGTTACTAAAATCAGAGGGGATGGAGGATGAGGGTAAAAGTAATGAGAACATGGGTTTCTGTAGTCAGTGAGAGTTAGTTTGTGGTTCCAAACCATTTAAAATCTATTTGTGGGTGTATGTTTCAGCTATTCCCAACTGGGAATTACCTGTAAATGTTAAGTTAGAAGAGGGTTTTGAGGAAGAATTTGAATGAGTATAGGATAGTGGCCTTGCAGACTAGTTCAGGGAAGATGTTTGTTTCACATAGGGAGTGCAAAAGAAAACACACATGTCCTGGTAGGGAGTACTGGACATAGTCAATTCTGGTATCACTGGCAGAGTTGAGGGAGTGGGGGATGAGGATATGCAATAAGGCAAAAGAGTGAATAAGAGAGTGGCATAGCTGTGGATGCATTAAAAGTGAGGACAAGAAGACTGCACTTGTGCAGGAGAAGAGAAGGAGCTAGTGGAAGGATTAAAATGGGCATAGGGAAAATCCAATGGTCCAAACCACAAGTAACAGATGATTTTAGTAGTTCCTATTCGAATGGTCAGGAGGGGGAACCATATGGATGTTGGGGAGAGAAGATGACTTACAATCTTTTGCCAAATTGCCCTACAATCATGGGTGTCTTACAGTGCCTTGATACTGAAGGTCCCAGGGATGCTCACAATCAGCCCACAAGCATGCAGGTCATATTCTCAAGTGTCTGTGTGCTAGACAGGCCTGGTTCAGCATCTCTGACCCCAGCAGCCTGTCTGCAGCCCCACTCTGGCTCACACCAGCCTTGGTTACAAGCAGCAAGCGGACCCCAACACACTCCCAGTCCCCAATTTTCCCAGAACCATGTGCTTTGCAATGTCCAACCCTCTCTTGGAGAGGTCAGGGAAATAATAAGGTTCTTTTGTTCCTCTAAAGACACACAAAGAACACCACAGCTTATTAACTGGGGTAAATACACCCTTACATTTACATGAGTTGGTTTAAAAGAAAAAACAAAAACAAATTCATTGAGAAATAGGACACAGGTTAAGGGATGTCAAGTAAAAGGAATAAAGTTAGAGTTACAAGCAAATAAAAGTGAAAACATTAAAAAGTCTAAAACTTAATCTAGCAAGGTACAGGCTTTGTTCAAGATGGTTTCTCACCTATACTCAATTTCCAGAGACTCTGTCTTTGCTTATATTTTCCCACCATCAATGACTTTGTTTAAAGAGGCAGGATTATCTCTTGCTGTTTTTCCCTTCCTGGGGGCTTGCCATTCCCCTGCCGATTTCTTTGTAAATAGAGCTTCCATTGTTACTGATCACACTTTGCTTAATTTCTTTGTAGACAGGCAGATAGCTGCCTTCCTTCCTGTTTGGGGGAAAGCCTGTTTTTCCCTTGTTTGGTCACAGACTGGAAGCATAATGCTATTAAGTATCGATATTTTCTTCATATAGTGTTAATACTACATTTCACAATAATAGTGATCACCGGTGTGTGTCATAAGCTTTCTGAAGAGACCTCACTCTATACACCTTTATAATACTGTAATATTGTATACAATTAGTTGATTCCATTGCCTATCACTTGAGGTTCAGACCCCCTGTCTTTCTTGACCAGTAAACCTTGAAAATGGATTCTTCTGAGGGTTACCCCTCAAAGGAAAGTTTATTCAAGCTGTAGGGAAGGTGACATGGAGCCTAGTGATGAAGGAAGCTCCGTGCTCTTTCTTTCCCTGGGTGTTAGATTAATTTGTCGTCCCTCCCCCCGCCAATATGTAAAAATGGACCTTCATTGTCTTTGCCTGGAGATAGGGCTGGTCAGAGAATCAAATACACATTCCTTTGTCTAAGGCAAACCTGTTTACCAACTTCCCCTGACACGCCTGGTTTAAAAACACTTTAGTTAGAATTCCAGCATCTATTATAACTTTTTGTACACACCCTGTGCATACCTCATACAAAAATAATAATGATTAGTGAGTATATTTTGTACCAAGAGTATTACTGTAGTGCGTATGATGTGAATACAGGGGTGCTTAGTGTCTCAGTGGTTGGCTATAGTCAAGGCAGAATCTCTGTTCTCTTGTGATTAAATCTTTGTAGTTAGTCCTGGAGGATTCCTGTAGCTATAGAGAGAGACAACCTGAAGTGAATGTCTAGCAGCTGCTCAGGAGCCCTGCAGAGTGGTTCCCAAAACCGGGGTCTACCTGGCTAACTTAAGAAATTTATCAGGTCTAGAGAAGGAAGAGTTTAACGTAGCATCCAGATTTTGGGTCTAGGTGCTGGAGAAGATGGTTGTGACGTCAGCAGTGACAGAGAGAGTGGGGAGTGGAGGTTTCATGAAGAAGGTGAGGGTGGTGGAAGTGGTAGCAAGGAGTCAGAAATGGTGAATAGAGGGCTGGGATTGTGGTCACATGGGTCACTGAGGTGGGAAAAACAGAGCTGCTCGATTAGGAATATGGTAGAAATGTTGGAGGAGAGAATAAATTTGTAGTGGAGGAAGCCAGTGTTCTCATGGGACTTGATCCCTCTAGGGCCACTCAGTATCATGGGCACAGACATGGAGGACATGGATATTGTTGGTGAGCCAAGGATAGGATTTTGATGGGATGGTCCTGGAAGATGTAGAAAAAAGTGAAAGTCAAAGGTGATGGATAGAGCAGAGTTGAAATACTCAGCAGCTGATTCAGTAGAGGAGGTGAGTGGGAAGAACAGCACCATGAGAACTAAATATTTCATAATGTACATTTTGACATGTACTGGAGAGATTTGGGGGGGAAATGTTGCACAGTATGACACAAGCAAACCTACCGAAGAACATCTGGTGCCTGAGGGTCCCCCCGCAAACTTGATATAAAATATGCTCTGTAACTAAGTCTAATTCTGCAACCTCTATTCACATGAATAACCTTTATTTATGCTAGTAAGCCAATTGACTTCAACATGTCTGTTTATATAAGTCATGGGTTCAGTCTAGGTTAATGGGACTATTCATGTGTGTACAGGGTGTAGGAGCAGGCCCTCAGTTATCTTTTACAGGAAAAAAATGAAAGAAAAAGCTATCTTAATGAGAAAGGACCACAGAAGTTCCAGAGGAGTTATTAGTCATGCTTTTGTAAGCCACACTATCACTGATGTTCATGTAATTTGGTACACTTCTCCAGTCAGAACATGAGATCATCAAATCAGTTCCATATATTGTGTTTAGAGCAATCATTAACAAATTTCCTTCTGTGACTAATCTGGACTGTAATTTGAAAACCAAGAAGATTAGCAGGTGTACCTTAACTTCTTGACTTAATCTCAGGGCATTGTGTACCACAGGCTATCATGATATAATATGGTGAATTGCACAATACCTCCAACTTGCTTGGAGTTACCATAGAACTTATTACAGAATCAGATCAACCTCTAGGAGGGAACATATCAAGCTACAGTGACCAGATGTCCTGATTTTATAGGGACAGTCCCAATTGTTGGGTCTTTTTCTTATATAGGCTCCTATTACCCCCCACCCCGTCCTGATTTTTCAGACTTGCTGTCTGGTCACCCTATACCAAGCCAAGAGGAATGGGGGAGAGGTAAATTCTGCCAGCTTATCATCAGAGTTTGCATAGGGATAGGGTTTCCGTAGAAGCAACTGTCTCACTGATGTCATTTCCGTTGCCCAGCAGCACAGCATCTCCCGCATTTGCAGGTCAAGTCTTGATCAGCCCCTTACAACTTTGGGCTGGCACATGCTCAGTGCAGAGGGAATCTTTGAAGAATTTAGCTGCCTAATTAGAACTAGTCTTTATTGAGCATGTATGAATTAAGATTTTTCCAG